CTTCTATTACTGATGAGAAAATAAAACTCATCAACAGCTCAACACATTTGACGACTGAAAAATCAAAAACAATGAAAAACATCATTTATTCATTTTATGAAGAACTCAAACATATGAATAGAAAACAGAATTCTGATTCTTCTACAGAAGAACGATTTAGTAATTATATGCATAGAATTATTCTATTTGTGCCATTATTTTCATGATATTGGGGTGCAATTACATTTGGAAATATTGCTCATTTTATTACAGCATGTTCTATTGGTCACTAGCGATTTCCTAGTGATGTTAGTCGACAATATACAATTGGAACAAGTACTAAACGAGCATTTACAATAAATTTCAGAACTATTTGTTTTGGTTCATTTTTCGAAGCTTTAATCAAAGCTCTACGTTCTTCTACCAAAGATAATCGTCGAAAGAGTATTCTATCATGTATTTTCAAATGTATTCTTTGGATGATTGATGATTTTATTGGTTATCTCAACGAATGGACATTTATTTATGCAGCACTTACAGGTCAAGGATTTGTTCAAGGTAGTTGAGGTTTTATCGAATTATTTCAGAAACGTGGTTGGACAGCAATTATCAATGATAGTCTTGTCGGAACCACGTTGTTCATTATTAATTTTGTAATAAGTGTCATTTCAACTATTGCTGGAGGTTTTATGATGTATCTAATGATAGTCGAATCGTCAGAACAAATTCGATCTATTATTGTTATAGTTTTGATCATGAGGGAAACAGCTGATTCTGTGGCTCTAGAATCACGTGTAGGTGATCTCGGTTACAGAAGTGATTTCTCGAGGTTTTGTCATACTTGACTAAAGGTTTTCAGAGATGAGGAAACCGAATCTGAAGTCCATTTACCTCGAAATCCTATTGATTGACCGACACTCAATAGAAATCGAGTTTTTCGAAAAACAGATTTTTAAGGATAATTCGAGGCCGGGATGGGTGAGTCCGAGTCAAAACTCGTACTCGAGTCATTCACTCGAAAAAATTTTCATTTGCTTTTATAAAAAAATCACAATATATAGAACTAAATTTTTTCTGATTCCCAATTTTCATTCTAATGGAATATACGGCATTAGAATGTTTTCTTCAAAAGCTTTATTTCACTTATTTATTTCTATGATCGTAAATCTTAGTCTACACATATTACAGAATGCATATGTATATATATATATTGTCTCCTTCTGTTTTGTTTTGGATTATCTGTGAAGCGAAAAAAAAACATTTATATATGAGTAAGCATTTTTTTTAAACACCAAAAACCTGAGTTTTAATCACTACAATTGTCTAACTGCAGCATGATTATGGAAAAATTAGTGTTTTGATCAGCAAATTTAGCATAATTGAAAACAAAAATAACAAATAGAAAAAGTATTTCGAGTGGTTTCGACGATTTATTTTCTGTAGATTTGCCTTCGTAGGTTGTTTCCAATTTTAATTATCGCCTTTATAAAATAATAAAATTTCCACCTTTGAGGATTTACTTTTCGTCGATTACATAAAAATACATTCCATTTATCCGTTTTCTAATGTAGAATTTACTTTTAGCTGATTAGTTGATTGAAGTAGTATAGGTATTTTGCACAATAGTGCCTGGCCTATCTTGTTCAAGAAATGACTTATTCTCTAATTTAACACTATCTCGAGATGAACAAGTTCAAATGAAAAACTTCTCTTTTAGATCGTGTAGTAAGTACATTGCTCGACTTGTCAGTATCTCTTGGTATATAAAGTTGTTATAAGCCACACTCGTATTCAAGATCAAATAAGATTAGAAAAATTGAGTTTCAGTTATTGAAACACCTTGTTCCGTTTTAATTAATTTATGTTTCGGCGAAATTGGCGATAAAATACTGAGGTTTTTTGTTGATCATTTCACAGTTAGACAATTTTGCGACCACAACAAATTTTTTCTGCAATTTAAATATACATAGTAAAATTTTGCTAGTAAACAGATTTAAGTTCATGTTCTGCTGATAAAAAAATGACCCTTTTGTGATTTTTGTGTGGAATTCTATTTATCAGAAGAGTTCGTCTTGATGTTCGGTTTTGTTGATAAATCTATAGTAGCTATACCATTTTATCTTGTGTAGGGTTATTCCCTTCTTTTTGTGCATAAAAACTAAAAACTAGACATCATCTTCTGAAAAACTCATTGTTAATGTTCTTTAGCCAAATAAACAGCAAAGAAAAAAATAACAAAATTAACTTGACTCGACTTGACTCGACTCGACTCGAAAAATGGCTTGACTCCCCCATCCCTGACTTACGAAAAGGTGTAACAACAGTACTTAGGCATGTGCACTTATACAGATCAAGGCACTAACATGTAATACTTTTCAATAACTTTTTCTTCCTGAATTAAAAGTTGCGAAGAAAACTAATTAGTACATGTTGTAGAAATAATTATGATCTATCGAACCAATCATTTGCTCATTTTAGAATATTTCATTTTTTAATTAGTTTTTAGTCATTTTACATTCAACTGCATCAGACAGGGCAAATTATAGTTTCAAAAAGAGATTACATGATTATTTAGGCATTTGCAAGGTCATATATTTCATAGGTATTTTCATGTAATTTTTCACGCTAAGTCTGATTAAATTATTGCACTCTAGGTTTAAGTTAAAACAAAGCCGTTATCACTTTCACTTTTATAAAAAAATCAATTTTTTTAGGCATAATATCGAAAAAGCAAAAAATGCATGTGTATCGTATTTCGCCTATATGTTCACGAAAATAGAGTCAAATATTCAATCATTCAATACGAAAATGATCAGCTCAAAAAACTCTACAAGTTCTGCAGAGTTTCAATGAATTCAGACCTGCTAATCCAAGTATTTCACCGGTTTTGAAGCTCGTGCACTACCAAATTGCAGTCGGGGAGAAAGATAAATAGTGTACGTTGTAGAGTAAGAGCTACTCTATCGAGCTAGCTATGCCACCATTTCCGTTCATCCCGACTTTTTGATCAACTTTTTTGAAATACTGTTGGTCAGAAGCACGTGACAAAATCAATCAGTAATTTTCAAAAGGAGTCTAAAATTCATAGTCAGTCTGAAGCAGTTTTTCACGAGGAATCTGAATATATCATTGGTTTTAAAATCGGAGCGAAAAATTATGTCCTAACGTTTGTATTTTCATTAGAGGATGACCTTTGTTTTTACCAAAATCTTGAAAGTCTCAAAATTGTATTTGATTCATATTTCTGTGATAATGAGGTTTAAACCTAAATATTTTTTTATCAAAATGATCAGCGCAAAATTCTCTACAAACCCTGAAAGTTTGAAAGGATTCTGACATGGTCACTGTATGGGCCTGGCGAGTTCCCATGGATTTACTCATAGTCAAAACATTTCGTGTCCTGAACGTCGCTGGAAAATTTACCAACTCGTTGACTCGTTTCTTTTTGTTAATCACTTGCGCTCTTATCCACTAATGTTTACTCATGAAAACTCATTACTATCGTAAAAACAGAACAGCAATTTGTTCTTTCTCAACCAGACTTTCTAGGATAATAAATATACTATAAGAAAAAGATAGTATTGATCTTCCTTCAGAATAACTTGCAACAAAAATACTAGATGGGAAAAGTTCAGATGCAATGTGTCATCGCCTTCAAAACGAGTGTTTTCTCATCTGATGAGTGTAATCTGGCTCCAACAATCGAAAAGATGCCCAAGTCAACTAGTTCATTTCAACGTTTCATCGAAATACAATTTCGAACTTCTAGACGTTGAGATATTTCTTAGGTTACTAACTCTTGATAGGTGATCAATAAATAACACAAAATGATGCGCTCATATCGTATATACTTTATTTGTCGAAAATCCGGTCTATATATAAGGACAGTGGATCACTTCCGATGGGATAATCAAAGTTGAACGATAAGGAGAATCCCATAAAGACAATACATAGAAAAAGACTGGAGAGTGTTTTTCAAAAGAAAAAATTCAAACAGATGTAGTCATTGATTCAGATACGTACAGTATTGAGTACCCCAACGTAGACAAGTACGGTTGTGTTCTAACAATAATTTTATTACACAAAATCGAGACTAGAAAGACAACAAAAAATAAATCAGTGAATAAAAGTGTTAACTATTCTTGTTATCATCTGTCAAATCTCATCATTTGGACATATATAAATACCAGCAAAGGAGACAAAATAATACATGTTATTAAAGAATCGAAAACACACTATGTTGCTGTACTTGTAGACCACCTTGCATACATGAAAAATGAATTGAGTATTTTAAAAAAGGCATTTATCACTTATGGAATGAAAGCTTCAATATACACAAAACTCATTAGCGAAAATCGAAATATGACCACAAAAAAAATGATATGTAAACATCCTCATTATATATTGTCAGTTAAAATAAAGGATACTAATTATATGTTACCATCAACCGGTGGAACCCTATAACGTTCACTCTTTATATTTTTTGTTATTGTGTTTTCTCTAGTTCTTTAATATCCTTCTTTGATCTCTGTCTTTTAGAACTCTATTTCAATAAATCAATTTCAAAGCATTTCATCTTTTTGAATGTCGTATTAAAAACGATTCCTGAACTGTATCAAAACATATATATATCTAAACAATTAATAAAATCAATTATCAACAGCTTTTTAATTCCTAAAGAAAATCAATAATTAGTTCATCATTCACCAAGTCTTCTTATCTTATAGTACAATCATTAACATGAATAAAAGTATTTTTCATTTTATGAGTAACATCCATGTCAATAGTCATTCATCGTATTTTTAATTGAAGCAAATGAGTGTACTCTCGTCACCTAGTAATGAATAACTACATTCCAATCAAAACAGAAAAAAATACATCTTTTTTATCGTAATTTTCTACCTACATGTGAATAATTTGACGAAGATCAAAAAAAAAATTGATATAGTTTTCTTGCTATTATATAAGTTGTTGTTGTTCTCACAACAAAAATATTATTCTAATATTTGTACAACAATAATATGCCATTCAAAACTTATTTAATAAATAAAACAAACAATCGAAAATTTCGACTTGATGGTGTTCTACGATCGAGACGTTTGCCAGCTAAACATAAATTATGTCAAAAATTTCGTCAACATATGGTCTTAAGAACTGATCAACTTCCACCAAAAGTTGATCTTCGACCAGATATGACACCTATTGAAGATCAATCACAAATTGGAAGCTGGTAAAAAGAATTCTACCATTGAAAATTTTTATTTCTTTGATTTTTCTACATTTTAGTACGGCTAACTGTCTTGCTGGTATAGAAAAACAAAAAAAAAGGAATTAAATTCTTTCTATTTTATCATTGATGTTTTCTTTTATAGGAGCTTATGAATATTTAACAAAGAAATCAAATGGTATGAATATGGATGTTAGTCGTTTGTTTATTTATTATAATGCACGAATTAAAGGAAATTATTGAGAATCAATCGAAGATTCTGGTTGTTCAATGACAGATGCTATTGAAGCATTAGAAGAATTAGGTACATGTCTTGAATCAATTTGGCCATATGATATACCAAATGTTAATACACGTCCTAGTGATCAAGCATTTCAAAAAGCAAAAAATCATACAATAAATGAAGCACTTCGAATTGATATTGATTTAAATGAAATGAAATCATGTCTTGCACAAGGTTTTCCATTTGGATTTGGTATTCAATTATTTAGTTCATTTGATAATGCAAGCAAAACAGGAGTTGTACCAATGCCAGATCCATCAGATAGTAGTCGAGAAGCACATGGAAGGTTTATTGCATATAAATTTTTTTTTTGTAAAATTAAAAAAAAGACAAAATAATTTCGTTCTTTTCTGTAGTCATGCAATGTTGGCTGTTGGTTATAGTGATCAATCAAAAGCATTTATTGTTCGAAATTCATGGGGAGAAGATTGGGTAAATAGGAATTTGCTCTTATGAATTATCTTCAATTGTTCTTATTTTAGGGTGATAAAGGATATTGTTATATTCCATATAATTATATGACTAACCCAGAGTTTTGTTTCGATGCATGGACGATTCGAAAATTGATGAATGATGATTTTGGTCAAGAAAATTGGTGTTTTGATGATTCTTATAATTATCGTGATGTTAATCATAATAATTATTCTGATGATACGAATGATAATGATCATGTTATTGAAAAATTAGATGAAAATGATGATACTGAAGGTTATAATAACAATCAAGATCTTTGGTGGAATGATAACAATCATGTAGGTGATAATTATGATTTTTCGTATCAATATCAAACTGATGAAAGTTTGTTTTTCTGAATATATCAATAAGTAATTTCTTTTTTTTTTGTATAATTTAGCGAATGATTATTCAATAAATGATACTAATTATTATGATGATAGAAGTCAAAATAATCAGGATAGTAAGTTATTTGAAAGTAGTTTTATTCTTTTAAATTACAAAATTAAATATAATCATTTAGGTTATGTCAGCGAGGATTGGAATTCAGATAGAAATTATTCATATCCACAAAATAATCAATATCGTAATGAAAGAAATTATTGTAAGTATTCAAAACAATTTTTAATTATATTACTATATCTTTTTTTAGATGACGATTTTTCGGATTTTAATTAAATGATTAATTAACCTTATGTCAAACATGTAAACTATATAATACGATATCTAATATCTACAACAATTATTATATAATCCTTTTAAACAAGAAAAATAAAATGTTCATTGTTTTTTTTTTAATGCAATAAAAACAAACAAAAGATAAAAGATATTTTTCCAAATAATGAACATCGTAAATCAATATATGTTCGACGATCACATAAACCAGCATGAGTTATTCTATTCAGTATAAGAAACTATTCAAATACGTGTAATCAATATTTTCATATCTTACACGGAAAGTTTTCCCAACTGATAAATTGTTTTTGATAGAAATCTGTAGGGTGTGCTAGTCACCGAATACAAAACAAAAGACAATTCCATTGAGACTACCAAAATACTTCAGTGCGGGAATTTGTCTTCTATCCACTCACATCCAAAGGTGCAGAATCTACTCATGTGCGGAAATGCACGTTGGTGGAAATTTTTGAGAAATGTCAAGATTAAACAACTTTTCGAAGAATGTCTCTTCTTATAGAGAAATGACAAACTCAATAGGCGATCTCTCTTGTTTACTTGTTATTCCTTTGTCTTTTCATCTATGCACCTAAGACATTATCCAGTTTGCATGCACATTATTCATTTCTGAATATCTTTTTTGCTTTCCATCATTGCATCTTCCTCTCAACCTTGTTTCTTGTCATTGACTCATTTTAATCGCTACGACTTTCGTTATAATTATTAGCGACTATTTATGCAAAAGCCAAATAGCATCAATGTCGATAGTAATCGATTGTTTTACAGTGGCGAAATAACAAAGTCATGATATGAACATGCAACTATCAGTATCCATCTTAAGGGTGTGGATGTGGGACTAAGGTGTAGGTGGATGTGGGTGTTCTTTTTATCTAGATTCACACTCACACCCTCTCATTCATAGAACATTATTCGATTCAAACATTTAGTTCAGATTGATTCTAGAACATTAGTAGATCTTACTTCTTGACATGATGAATATAAGTAGTAGTATATTATATTTATTGTAGTAATTATGTAAAGTGCAGAGAAAAAAGTAAAATGAAAAAAAGAATTTGTCTTGTATGGGTATATATCACCTCTTTAATATTTATTCATAATCTGCTGTACCGTATTGTCACTTCTATTGACGTAAATATGCAGGGTTTTTCGATCTGGAATTTCAGGTAGTGCCTGACCTCGAATTAACATATGTGCATCGAATTCGACTGGATTATAACCTAAACAGAAAAATAAGAGACACATTTTCCTATATAATTCATCAATCTAATCGTCTCTAAATTTACCAAGTTTCTTGAGTTCTTCAATCACACCATCCGCATTTCTACCGTTGTATTTATGAAAGTCAATTTCTGGAGATGTACGAGTTTGTTGCTGTTGCTGCGTATATGCCATTATGCTTATTTGCGTTCTTCTTAAACGTATGCGTGTCTTTGTTTATGTGTATGGTTTGTCAATATCTATTCAAGGTCGAAACATACAGGTATTTATATTGAATAACCATGAGTATTTCATACAGTGAAAGAAGAGAAAAAAAAGAAAAAATATAATTGGTCTATAGACATGAAATAGGGGTAGCACTTTTACTTTCTCAAAGGAAAGGAAAGTCGAAAAACTTTCTTTTTCTGTTTGTTGCGTTGTGAAAGATGGCGCTAAGTTTTCTATGCTGTTCTATAAAGAAAAAAGTAAAAAGAAAGCAAAAGAAAATTGAACACTAAAGCTGTACAGCTTACGCTCATGAGGACTCATATGAGCATGAGCGTTTCCCTGTCTCGAATGGGGAAGGAAAGTTACAGTTACTCGTCAATTACGTTATCAAGTAATTAGCAACCGAAACTTTGCGAGTTTATCAAAAGAAAAGGCAACTTTTCTAAAAATGACCAATGAACTTTTATAAAGTTTGGCCAAAGGTAATTGTGGTCAAGGAACTCAAATCTGTAAGGAGCTTCTCAAAATTCTGAGTTTGCTTTTTTACCACAAAAATTTTTTACTAAAAAAGCTCTGTTGAGTGAAAAAATTAAACTCAAAACTTTGAGAAACCCATTACTGACTCAGATTCTTCAATTTCAATTACCTTTGGTCAAACTTTATAAAAAAAATCGGTATTTTTAGAGAATTGTCTTATTAAATAATTTTCTTTAATAAATTAAAATGATTTATTTGTTCGTTTTAATGACACAGCTGGGCAAGTCAGAGATTTTTTTGAAGTCATGTCCCAAAATTTTTCCATCAAGTCAAGCCAAATCAGACTTGACTTGAGTTGCTCAGCTCTGTTTAATGAATATGTTTTCATCAGACATATTTATATTATGTTGGCAACGATAAATAGTTGGTAATAAATATATTTGACTTTGAAATTTTGCACTAGTAAATTCATAAGAGTTATTGAACGTGAATATGGATTAATACAAAATAAATCAAATAATTTTATTTTTTCAACTGTATCGATTAAATATGTACAACCATCTAAAAAATTTTCAATAATTAAACGTACAATTTCAAAATCAATTGAAATATTTTTTTTCATCTTGAATAAAGAAAATTGAAGACATTATTTTTATGACTTTAATTGTATTCATATTAATCATTGTTGCACGAACTTCATTTATTCTTAATCAATCAATATTTATTGTCCACAAGAATAATTTATTATGTAAGTAAAATCATTGCTAGTTGTACGTATTGTAATAGAAATGCATGCTGCATCTCCATATGATTTGTCATCAATGTCACTATAATAAAAAAAGCGGAATATTATTTATTACAAACAATTAAGAAAATCTAATCAGCTCAGCGACACATCGTCGAACAAAAAATTTCATATTTTGATTTCCATTATCCATGGTAATTTTATCAAAGATAATAATTGTCTCATCACAAAAGTACGCTTGTGCAACATGTACAGCAAGATTATTAAGTGCATCACTTCTCAGGGCGACCATTCCGACCGTCAAAAATGGCGTATTATGGCATTAATGTTCATCATTTTTCGTCATAATCCATCAGCTCATTTTAGGTGTTTACGGAAAACGGTACCCTTTTCTTGGACATGGGTTGGACCATGATTAAGTGCATTTTCAGCCCGATGAATAATTGAAGTTATAATCATATCGAATATGATGGGTGTGGGTGTAAGAAGAACTACATTCACACCGATATCCACACTCATACCCACCCACACCCACATCCAGCCACCCCATCCACCAAATGAGTGCTAAACTGCAAATCTTGATTAGATCACCTTAATTATGTTTGATAATTTCATTTTTATGAAGCAGAATAATGTTAATAATACAAAAAAAAACAATGAAAAAGCTTATTAGCGCAGCTCCTTTGGAGCTGAAATGTGGAACTCACATATATCCTTAAGCCTTAATATTCTAATGCATCATATGTAAACTGAAAAATTTCGTGTACACTGTTTTTTATTTTAAATCGTTTTTCGTAACTCAACATTCTTATTATTATAATCATTGAATTAATTGGCGAATAAATCTGTTTTATATATACATGATATCTACAGAAAATCTTATGCACTATTATATATGCTAATCAGCTCACAAACAATGATGTTGATTATCTTTCAAAATCATAACTTGATCAATTTTTTGACAAAAGCTAGAAAGTTTGACACCTGTTATTTTTAATTGTTAAGGTCTATAATGAGGGAGGGGGATATCTGTAATGGAGAGGAAGTGGAGAAAACCGCGAAAACTTGAACTTAAAACTTACACTCACTATTTTCTTCGAAAATATATGTGAGTTCCACAAAATGGTTATTCTTGAATAGTATCATTAAAAGATAATGTATGTTCCGGATTAAATGATAAGTTCACTTTTCTTTGTTATCATCAAATCCATATTACAATATCACTAGGAAAATGTGCACTTTTTGAGAATAAACACGTCGATGGTAAAGGATCTTTTAACCATTCAATAAGTTCCTCTTCATTTTCTACGTTTTCATCACGATATTTGTCATTATTATTCTTTGCTGTTGCTAATCGTTTATGATACTTTTCATCGTCACGTTTAACATGTAATGATCGAAGATTTATCATATTTTTGACAAGATAAATTGTACTATGACGACTCTTAATTCTGATAAAAAGAACTTCACATTGAATACATAATGATGAATGACATAATCTAATACATTCTTCTTCATTGACATAATAATTATAACCTCGGAAATCGAGTTGACGAACTAATGAGGTTCTATACTGGAATAATGACATTTGTAAAGATAATGATTCATCTTGACGGATATCTAGACAACGAAGGTTAGGTGCACGATCAAGTAAAACTTGCAATTAAGATTGAAAACTATCAGCATGTGAATAGACTACAAGTGTTTCCAGTATATTCAAACTTGGAACAATAGACCAAAACTGATCATTAAGAGGAAGTTTTATCCTAAGATCTTTGATATTAGGAAGACGAATGTAGGATGAAATTGGTTGATCAAACAATCTGTAATTCTGTATAGAAGTGATGCTATTATAAAATTCTTGATGATCATAATGGGGATCAGTCAATTTCAATGAATGAGGCAGATCAAGCTCGTCGTAATTTAATGTTTTAGATAGAGTAAAAAGATAGATAGTTTGGTATTCTATAAAACATCGAACAAACCATTAAAACCAAATGTTCTCTGTTTCACCTGAAGTCGAAGTACTTGAAGTTTAGACAAATAATTACAAATGATTTCTTCCTATTCATATCCGTTAATTGAGCTAAAGGGTAAACTGATACTCAAACGGAATAAATTGGGTGTGCTTTAAAGAAATTTCATTAATGAGACGGCAGACACATGGCTACTGTCCAGCTTCAAGTCGATTAATGTTGAAAGAGTCAATGGTATATAGTTGTCATAACTAGACAAGTCAAGATATACATGAAGTCTATTAAGACAAGGAGTACATTCAATCAATGAATGTAGTTGATTTAATTCAGGTCCATGACTTGGTATAGATACACTTTCAAATGATGAAGGGATGTTTGTTGGTATTTGAAAAACCGTATGCGCTAGGACGCAGGTATTGAAACTACATTTAATGAGTTTGGGTAAACTCCAAATGCTGTTGATCATTGATTGATATTCACTTTGATTGGCACCACAATTATAGGAATTAATTGTTAAATAAGTGAGATTACATGAATGATCATATTCATCCAAGATTTTCATTAATGTTCGGCATGAACGAAAACCTTCCACTGAAAGTAATTGTAAGTGAATGAAGTGATTGGATGGTGGGATATAAGAAAGAAAGAAGTTAGCTTGTTCAGGGATATCATAATTGTCAGTAAGACTAAGAGAAATAACTCGTTGAGTAATGAATGGTAAGTGTTGTTGACATATCATATCAAAATCACGTTTAGAAATAGAAGAAAAGTTAAAGCGATACAATCGAAATTGATTGTAGAGAAGATCATTAAATCGATAATTGAGACTATAAAATGCACGAAGAAGATCAATACCATCAAAATAATCGAATAAATCAAGTAAAATTTCATTAAGTAACAATTCAAAATCCATCTTGTTTTGTTCTTTGCTTGCAGGGTATGAGTGTGGGTGTGTATTCTATCTATAACCACACCCATCTACACCCTCGATAAGTATGGTACCTCTTAAGCACCAAGTACATTATATTGAACAATCAATATCGTTAGTTCTTAGATGAAATAATGAATATCTCAATATGAGATAAATAAGAGTAGAAGTTAATTCACTTTTTAATCTTATTACACACAAAAGATTTGTTATACTCTTTCAATATCGACTTGATTCTTAAAGAGAATCAACTTCATGATTTTTATTAGTCAATAAGATCAGGTATAATCGGATCAAATTAAAACTTTTACTTGCAAACTAACAGATTTAAAATATAGGCTATTGTTGGCATGTCTAGACTGCGATATTCAATTTTTAAGGTATTCACAATGTATGTAACGTAGACAATAATTAAAATTTCAAGAGATTTTTTTCGTTAGTTTTGGATAGAGCTTGTCGAATTACATGAGAAAAAATATCTTACAGAAAAGTTCAAGATACCATTATTTTTTAGGAAAACGCAGTTACCGTGACATTACCATGATAATGTGACAGTAACTGTCTTTTTCTACATATGTTCGGTCTTCGTTGATTCATTTGTACAGTTCAACATCGGCAATGAATTCTAAGAAACACACTTCAGATTCCGGCTGTGGGTGGGAATATGACTAAATAGAAGACACGTATCCACATCCATCATTCGAAATTTGTGATTTTCTTTTCGACGTGTCAAATTTCATAACTGAAAATGATTTATTTAGCTATTTTTCGTCTTAATTCTAGGCATCGGAATCGATTTGTGTTGGTTAATAAATATATCTTATGCCTTTTCTTAGTAACTCTATGCCCGATTTAGAAACATTATACCTTTGGAGACTAGATGACTTTTCTTCGGTATCTAGTAAGTGTATGTTAAATGAAAAATTAATTAGAACAAATTATTTAAATCTTATTCATGGAGCTTTGAAAAAAAGAAGATATATAATTCTTACAAATTTTTATTTGAAAACATCGATCAGTTTTGCATCACTTTTGTTTGCGTATTACCATTGTTTTGCTCATTCATTGTATTTTGTCTTGTTTTTTCTTGGAGAGTGAGGAGGACAAAAAAAACGAATTTCAACATATGTATGTGATTATTATTTGGTTTCTTTATGCTTCATTGATTCCTTAGATGGATTTATCAAAGGATAAATAAAGTGTTTTTGAACAAAATAAAAACCTTAAATTTTGAAACAAATCTCTAGGAAGTCTTCTTAATCTTTTAATTAGAGTGATTTTTATCAAACAGGAAATCTATTTTATAATCTATTGGGCTTAAATGAACAAATTTATATGAAAAATCTTCCAATTGAAGCAATAGCATAATCAAATGAATTTATTTTATTGAAATTTTTCTTGGTGTCTCAAAGATAAATGCAAACGGTATTGAATATAGATTTGTTCACTGACAAGATCCAGTCTTGTATATATTATTCGAAAATATTTTTATGAAGGACCAAATGAATGTATCAAATCAAATAAAAAAACAAAATGATTGTTAAAGGCATATTTTATATGTTATGGGATGTTCGAAAGAAATGATATAGGTATTATTCTTGTGAAACATTTCTTCATATTAGATAATATGTGATGTTGATTAACTAAATATTAAAGTTTTTAAATTGTAAAGAAGATTATTCAACTACTTTAATCCTTTAACTCCTGGTTGGGACATTTTCGACCCATTCATGAAATTATCTATTTGGAATATTCAACCATTGAATCGATATAATGATTTCAGAACATGGTGCAAAGTTTTTAATCAGCTTCAAATTCGAAAAAAATTAAACTTCTTTTCATCATTCCTTGGTTAAGATATATGATTATGGGGCTGATGCATAATTAATACTATGAGCATAATCTATTTGCAGGATAGTTTTTAAAAATTTCTTAATTATAGATATAAAAGTAATGTTTTTCATGACAATTTGGGTCATTTTTTTATCTATTTGTAATGAGTAACATAAAAAACAATTTTTCTAGAACTATGTTATCTTCAATACAAACTCATAAAATAATATGATCTTCATGATAAACACTTTATTAGAACGATAAAGGTTAAAAACTTGCAGCCTCTGTTATGGTCTTCCTTCTCGATGAGACTTTAACAACAGGAATGTGTGATTTTGAATTGGAATCAGAATCAATGATTCTATATTATATAGAGAACCTCATCATATATCATCCTCTGAAATGATTTATTTTTCAAAAAATAATTCATGATAAGTAAGTTTTCAACTTTATACAGTTAAAATAGCAGTATAACTGCGAAAAGTCAATTTAACAATAAATTCAATTTTTGTGTCATTCAAAACGAATGAGTCATTGTAGACCCATTCTACATCTCCATAGTGAAATGACTTAGCCTAAATTTAACTACACCAATGTCATAATTAGCATTTGTAGAAACTATTCCAATGGTTGTCTCAACACTAAAGCTATTGAATGAGTACTGGAGGTAAAGGATTAAACAAGATTTAGTATCACAGTACAATAACATTTCATTTTCAAGTCGTGTCATATGTTTTGGTTGAACTTTAAAAACCGATTGGTTGTCACCGATTTTTTATCAGTTTTAAGGGTACTGAAGCTAGTCTATTTTACTTTTCATCAAAATCCTAGCTCTAAGTTTTGAACTCACTCTTTATCATAGTACAATAATGATCACAGATCAGGATGAATATATTGATTATGGTCACAAAAAGTTAGCTAGTCATTAAATGGTTTAAAATTTCAAGCTCACTTTCTGAACTACGTTTAACCGAATATTAAAAACTTCTGACCTTTCGATGCAAAAATATTAGAAAAGAATCTGTTCCACTGAGATAGTTATGCGAACCGTTAGCATGATACAACTGTGAAACTATCTAGGTATTAGGAAATCTAAAAATATAAAACCTAGTATAAAATCGAACTTTATAGATCATTTTATGATATTATGAAGAGTAGTATCCTTTCACGAATCAAGAAGTCTTTCAATTATGTTAAGAAATAATTTCAAATAAGACCTTAGATCAAATTTGTCAATACTTGAGAATTACTATATGACAAGTTTTTAAAAGAGTTCTTCCATCTTTCTTAGTATTAGCATACATAGAATATGACAGACTAAAATACAACTTGTTACTATTAGAAATTTCAAGAGTTATATGACTTTCAAGTTGTATATATTTGTAGAACTTCAATAACAGACTTTTTTTGAAAGAACTAGTTGGTTAATTATTATGTTAAAAAGTCGTTTCAATTTAAAATTATACTGACGATTCTTTATATTACAGTTTGTATGGCATTGCATCGAAAAATTTATTTCATCTGAAGACTTACTAACGGACTACTATTGAATCTGATTGTAAATAGAAACTTACACCTTGATTCTTGATCATCGAAATTCAAATTTGTATTCTTTTTTATTCATGTAAAAGAAAATAATCTTAGATAGACTTGCTTGTTATCCGTCATTTGATTATTATTTGAAAATGAATAGTTCAGCTAATTTGTTTCTTTTAAATTTTTTAATTAAAATCTATCATTAATATACATTTATAGATGAATTAACAAAGCATAATTCATCAAAACATAAAGTCTCAACACATACTCGACATATTCATTTTGATACAATTATTTTCTGATTATCATGATTGTTTTTGACGATGAATATCACCTAGAACAACGACACAAATTGTAATATCTTCTTCAACAACAAATAACGAAACTATCGCAATCGCTGATGAAGATATTAATCATTCATCTATCTATTTTAAAGAAAATAAAAAAGAATGTACACCATCTGATTCACAATTAAGTACAAGCAAGTGACCTATGATTGAAGGGAAAAAAACAACAAACTCAGAAATAAAATTTTGCCTTTTTTTCTCTATTATTGTTGTATATTCAATGTGAAAAGAAGATATGTTCATAAGATTGAAGAATGACAAAAGACTAAAAATTTGAATGTTTTAATTTTTAATTGCATATAAATATTTCAGAAGAATTGAATGCAAAATTTTTATTTTATACTCGTAATTAATGTTGTAAATAAGAGAAGACTCGTTTGTAGAGCAAAATAAAAATCGTTCTTTAATATCTTGACAGTTTCGTGACTTTACATTCATTTTTCTTCGAATTTAAATATTCAAGAAATTTTTGTTCTTACTATGTAAACTATAAACAAGAGTTATAAGAACTATACTAGGAAATTTGAGAATGAGTATTTATTCTAAATATAAATATTTAACCTTACGAAAGAATATTTACAAATAAGACATTGAAAACTTTTATATAAAATATTCTTCATATTATATTCTACGTAGAAGTATCTTCAATATCTTGTCAAATGTTTATTCATTTTCATGGACGTTGTTTTGTAAATTGTCTTATTCGACGATCACTTTCAATAGTTACTAGCAACTCTATAGTACCTTCATCATTCATACTCATTTGTATCGAAGGCAGTGATCCATCTAATTCTTTACTTACACTTCGCCACACAATGCCAACAACAATTGATATTATTGAAAAACTACCTCCATTTTTTTTATCTAGTTCGAGATGATGATGTTGTATCTGATCATTTTGAAGTAAAAAATGTTCTACATATATTTACAAAAATAGTTGAACATGAACATGTGAAAGAACTACAAGAATTTTATTATAATATTTACTTATAGCTCATCCATTGAACGTAATTTAAACATTGCTGATGAGATAACATCAGAAAACGTTTTTGTTTTTCTACTAAAGATTTTTTGTGAATGATACAATGGCAAAATGAAAACAAAGCAAAATAATTTTTAAGTCCGTATAAAAAAAGAAACAATTTCAAATAGATGTATCAGAAGATATTCAACTTCAATCACAACTTGATTGTACTCAAAATTCATGTTTTCATCTATTGATGATTTAGCTAAAATACATGTTGCTGATGTTGTAGTACTTGATACACT